ATGCTGTATGTAAGTGATCTATATCTGGCATATGCACATGTACATTACTGACATAAACATGGTATACGCTGAAACAGTATATCATTTTTTCGAAATGCATACCTCATATAAATCATAATAAACTGTAATATCGTATGATATAACTTCAATACAACACATTAACTTAAATAACTAACTTTACTTTAGACATTTAATGTAATTTTATGTTCAATTCAATCAAGAAGGAATTAATTGGCTCCTATAAAAAAAGTCTTCAGTCCTAAGAGAAATGTAGAGTACACTTGGAGAGAAGCCAGGGTAAGTTAACATTTTCAATCTAGTGAAGTTAATGGACATCAGAGAATATTTATAACGAGACGATTTGAATAAAAATATACTTAAAGCACCATTCGACTGTACTTTCAGTATTAAATGTTTCAGTTCTTCCGTACCAAAGGAATAAAATTCCAATAAATTCGAAGTAAACATTTCTAAGAAACAGAATTATTGCTCTAAAAAGATTCAAGGTGAGAGAGAATTTTACTTTTGTGACAGCTACAAGCTTGTGTCTCAATGAAAAACTTTTCTGCTTTCACAAACTCCATCTTAGCATAAGCTAATGCCAATTCCCGTAGGTAAATTAATAATTAATTTTAATTATGTATATTACTATAAATGGATATATATTGCTCAAAAAGAGACATGAATGATAAATGAAAAAATCCCAAACTATAAAGTGTGGAGTCTCTAATATACAGTTAACCTGCCTTCTTCAAGCATCATCAGAACAGAAAAACCATTATCACATATATACAGAAAAAAAAATATTTTCTTTTGACATCTAACCAATCCACTTGAATACATACTGAAAGAAACCAAACGTTTCATAAATAAAGCAAAATACGGTTATAATAAAGAGTTGATAAAAGGAAAAAAAAAATATGCCTACCTAAAATAAAATAATGTGCTAAATAAATTTAATACAAATTAGAAAAATAAATTAATAACTACAAAAGAAAATGTTAATATATGTTGGCAGGTGAGCTATTCACCTGAATGCTAAAGACTCAAAACTTTACAGTTTCGGACTTTTCCATTCATGACCTAATTATTTATAATATGAAATATAATACATTTCCTGAAAATAAATAGGAAATTAAAACAAAATTAAGGCTGAACTTAGGTCACTTGAAGATGTGCAAGTCTCTTTAGTTCTTCTCAAGATAATATTTCTTATCAGATTTCGAGGTTATGTCACAGATGCGGATCATAATTCGTTTTAATAAAAAAAGTTTAAACAATATTCCACTAATTTTCTTTATTTTAATAGAATGAGGTTTATTGTTTTTTCTCTTTTTTTCCTTTTGACATTACGGAACTTGTAGATCTTCATTTTAAAGTTTTAATATTAATATTATAATTAATATATAATAATATTTATTATAATTCATAATAAATTTTATTTCATATCTTCCTTTTAATTGTCAGATCTAAAATAAAAAAATGCTGCAAATTATTCCACAATGGTTTATTATTTCCAGACAATTATACATCTAAAGTAACATTACCTTCATAGTTACAAAGAAAAATAAATAAAAGGTGATTCCAATTATTGCACTAAACTTTTTTTTTTTGATGATTGGTAATATGCTAAAAAAAATAGCATTACATCAGTAATATATTCAAAATTTAAAAAACATTTAAAAACCGGAGACCATATCTTTGCTCCTAATTGTCCGATTTTAACGATTTTTTTATGTTTTTTAGGAAATTTTGTTAACTTTTAAAAAACTAAATACAATATCAACAAAATACTAATAACTTTTCGAGTTATTCTGAATTTAATTTTACCATCCCTCGTAACTTTTTTTCCAGCTTCTTTTCGTTGAAATATGTTATATAGATAAATTTAAAGGACTTCGAGAAAATTACTTTAGCGAAGTTTCCTTGAAATCGGTTTAATTCGTTTAGGAGCTACAGTCTATAGCAACGCAGGTTTTTCGGCCGCCATTTTGAAACTAAAAGGCGGATTGTAATGTCGATGAGGGAGGATCATCTTCGGGTGACCTCTGATTTCATATATAAATTTGAAAAAAATCGGTCCAGTAGTTTCGGAGAAAATGCGCAGACGGCGGACGACGGACGGACAAAACAATTTTTATTCGTTTTTCGAATTCTACGCATCCTGAAAAGTGAAACCTCAAATTTTGAGAGGGGGTTAAGTTTTTGAATTTTTCGGTCGATCACAATGGTTGATTATTGAAAATAATAAACCTAAATAAAATTATAATACATAGCATTCTCTTTAGCTCAAAGCTGAATAGTAAACGTTATCCAAACCTATCTTTTCCTTTTGGAAATAAATAAATCGTGAGTCGCAGCTGTCCAATTTTCGCAATCTGTAGGTGTAGCATTGCCTGTTGGATATGCCGAATGATATAGGAGCCCTGGACAGAACGTGGCTATGAGCTATCAGGTGCATGGATCCACCGGCAGGCTGCGTGGGCATATCTCAGTCTTGCCCTGTCCAGTCTTGCTGAGCGTGACATGGGCCGCTGCAATCTCAGTCCAGGTTTTGAGTCCTCCGTTTCATGTAAATAAAATGTGACGTTTATAAATTTCTGAGATTTAAATATAATTCAAAATCTAAGACTAACATCTACAACTATATAAATAACATTAATGTTACGAAATAACTAATAGTCTCCACTACAATCAATACATTTCTGGTAACGTGTTGGCAACTTTTCCGTTCCCTCGGATTATAATTTCCTATCTTTAGAACTGATATACTCCAAAACACGTTTTCTAATTCCCTTTGTCCATTAAAAATTTTGTTGCGTAATTTGTGGTCCAGATGTCTACGAAAATGATAATCCATGGGTGAGAGATCAGGAGAGTAATATTCAAGCTCCAACAATTTCTGCGACGTCACACTTGAGACATGTGGCCGGGCGTTAACATGTAACAAAATGGGGCCCTTATGATTAACCAAAGATGGCTGGTTTCATGATCGCCAATTTCTGATATATTGCATTAATTTTGTTACAATACGTTTCGGTATTGATGGTTTCTCCAGGATTTAAGAAACTGCAGTGTATTAAACCAAATGAAGTTCACAAAACAATCACCTTTTTTTGATGAGTTGGGGAATGTTCTGCTGTTTCTCCCTTGTCGATTCAACGTTCAGAACGTCTACTATTATCATAAAGTATCCAATTTTCACCGCAATCAACAATTATTGACATGAAAGGGTAGTTTTTGTTTCTGCAAAGAAGTGTAGCACAAACTTCATAGCTCTGTTTTTTTTTTTTGTTTTTTTTTTGTCGGTTGTTTAATGTGTGTGGAACCCAACTTTCAAGCTTTTTTGCTTATCCAATCACCTTGAGGTGGTCATCGACGGACGATTTTCTAAGGTAGGTTTCCCTGATAGTTCTCGAGCAGTTCTGGAGTTTTCTTCCTCCAAAGTCCGTAGAACATCTTCATCAAGAAAGGAAGACCTTGCACGACCTTCTTTGTCTTCGAGGCTGAAGTATCCCTCCCAAAATTTTTTGAACCACTGTTGAACAGTGCACTCATTAATACTGTTCCCGTCTCAGACTTTAATGTTTATGGCCGTCTGAGACCCATTCCGAAAAAGTTTAAACTCGCAAAACAAAAATTATACGAAACTCGAGCGTTTAAATCTTAGTGAAAACTAAATTATTTCTAAGCAGCGAAATTCTACAGAGGTTAACAAACATTATCGTTTGTAGGAGACTTATTAAGTGTTGACATTCATACAGATGAATAATCCAGTAAAAGTAAACAGTTTGTTATATAGAGGGTATTTAAAAGAAACTAAAAATCCTGCATTATTTTTTTTATTTTTATTTTTTGGACAATTCTTTCAAAAATTTTTGAAAAGATCCTCCTGAAGAGAATCCTACCCATAATAGACTCCCGTAAAATCCCTACCCATCGATTCGGATTCCGTTCCCAACATTCTACCGTCCAACAAGGACTCCGAGTTGTTGACCACATATCCTCAGCCCTACAAAACAAGCAGTTTTGCTCGAGTGCATTTCTGGACATAGCGCAAGCTTTTGACCGGGTGTGGCACGCCGGACTGCTCTTCAAGCTCAAATCCCATCTACCACAGTCTTTATATCTAATACTCCAATCCTATCTCTCAGACTGCTTCTTTCGAGTTAACTGTGGCACAGAATTTTCCGACTTTTATTCAATTGAGGCTGGAGTTCCTCAAGGCAGCGTCTTGGGTCCCATCCTTTACATCATCTATACCGCTGACATTCCCGTCCATCCCGATACACTCCTGGCAACTTTCGCTGATGACACTGCGATCTTATCTTCTAACTCAGATCCTGAAACAGCGTCCATAAACCTGCAACGGCACCTATCCTTGATTGAACACTGGTACAAGAATCTATCAAAGTCAATAAATCCAAATGTAAACATATAACCTTCACCCTTCGTCGTAATTCCTGTCCACCAGTTTACTTTAATACCATCCAGCTTCCCTTCTGCCACACAGTCCGGTACCTTGGTTTTTTCCTAGACAGACGACTAACGTGGAATCCGCATACTAGACTGAAAAGACAGGAACTTAACCGACGTTATGGCCAGCTATATAGACTACTGAATAGAAAATCTAAACTTTCTATTGAAAACAAACTACTGATCTACAAGACAATACGGACCTACGGACTAGAACTGTAGGGGACAACCAAATTTTCTAACATCAAACGCATTCAATCCTTCCAGTCCAAAGTCCTCCGTACAATAGTCGATGCTCCCTTCTATGTCTCCAATAAAACCCTACACAATGACCTTAATATTTCATTTATTCTTGATCTTATCCCAGACAAATTTTCTAAATTTCATCAGAACCTTACCCATCACCCTAATCCCGTAGCACAATCCCTATCTAGCACCACTCATCCCTACAATCCCCTCCTCACAGGCTGAAACGGCAGTGGCCCCGTGACCTTTTGTAACATGTATATATTGGAGTTCTGGCAATGGCCAGATTCTCCACTCAAGTCATGAGTGTCCGTGTTTGTAGCGCCCTTACTCAATCTCCGCAATAATAGTGAAATGGTTGAGGAAGAAGCGCAGGGATCTCCTAAAGCCTTTCATTCCCTCCACATGTGGGGATAAGTATGGTTCATAGTCCCCATGGCCGACTGTAAATAGTGTAAATAGGTATGCCTGCATCTAAGATGTTTATTTTCATTACTTTTTTTTTTTTAAGATAACTTTAATTCTAATTTATTCATTTATTTTCATTCTATTATTACTATTATTTATATTTTCTTTCTTAACTATGATATTTTATATTGTTCTTTTGTAGCTTTATATTATTTGAAGCTTATTTTTTTTATTTTTTTTTTTTTTGTAAATATGGTGTGAATGTGCTCTTAGAACTCTATTATAAATGTCCTTTATTGAGACAGATTGTAATATTTATCAATAAACAAATAAATAATAAAAAAAAAAAAATTTTTTTTGGAAAACGTAGACAACGCAATAGCTTGGATTGCTCCATTTATAATGTTTCTTTTCCAGCTGTATGCTTATTATTATAATATTATTTGTGGAGTTACCGTGTGTCAACTAAATTTTTGGGGTATGAATTTTATATACACCTTCGAGTTGTTTTTTGAATTTTCTTTTTATTAGTTGGTTATTTTTTAAAATTTTATTTTATTGATACATTTTTGTATTATAATATTTTAGGTATTGTCCTCATTGCCGGTTCCAAAGAAAATCTAAAACGGGCAGTTACTCAATGGGAGCCTGAGCTAAAATGAAATGGAATGATATTAAATGTTTGAAAGAGCACATTGGTCGTGAAGAGGAGGAAGTTTTGGTTCGCTGCGAAGGAAAAACCTTGGGATACACTTATTTCGGAGTAGTACTTAGCAGAAAAAAGAAAATGGACCAAGAGCTCTCAAACAAGATTAAGAAAGCTGACAACATATGCTACCAGCTATGATGCACAGTAGTGGAGAAAAGGGAATTGGAAAAAAAGTCTAAATTACATATCATAAAGTCCATATACTTATCTATCCTTATTTATTGGAAGTGGGGGCTGAGCTCGCTGAGAATAGCAGGCAAAACAAGCAGGAACAGGGTTAGAAATGAAAGGATTCAAGGAGACGAGGGAGTGCCAGCTTTGAGGGAAGCAGTCAAAAAGAGTCAGTTTGGTTGGTTGATCATCGATTCAGAATGGATGAGGACCGTGATCCAAAGATGTTTTTTAAAGCCAGGCCTATCGGACGTCGTTCTGGAGGAAGACTTTGATTACTATGGATGGACGACATCTCCTGGATTGGTGAAAAGAAGTGGAAGCATATGGATTCAAAGAAGGCACTGGCTCGGGATCGGGAGGCATGGAATTCCTGGATCGGGGCATCTCCACGCTGAGAGGCACAAAGGAGGATGATAAAGAAGAAGACGTATGTGTATTTTTTTTCCTGTATCCTTGGTAATCATCTGTTTTATACAATCTTCCGTTCTTACGAAGTAACATGTCTTAACTGTTGAATCTATTTAGCAGTTATTTGGATGGCTTAGTGAGATGGAAATAGCATTTATTTTATTTTTCACTCTCTTTCTGTATATAAGTGACCTTGTTTTTACCTGCATTGGTGAAACGTTTGCAAGTTAACTTTTCACCTATATATTCGAGATTCATGGCTTTATATTGTGGATGGTTATGAAGTAACATGTCTTAGCTGTTTAATCTATTTAGCAGTTATTCGGATGGCTGAGTGAGATGTCAATAATCAGTATCAGTTACATTAATGTTTTTTTGTTACGAATTATGGAATAGCTAATAACAGCATAATAATAATAATAATAATAATAATAAGGCTTAGCGAACCCGAAGGTTCGATGCCAACACCACCAATCGCTTGTTACACACCTCCCTCCACCGTTCGCCGTCCAAACCCAATCCCTTCAGATCAGCTTTAATGCAATCTTCCCACCTTCGCTTCGGTCTACCCCTCGGACGCTTACCATTCGGCACAGCAAATATTAACCTTTTAGGAATTCTCTCGTTACTAAGCCCAACAACTTTACAAGCCCATTTGATTCGCCGCGATGAAATTACCTCAATTATATTACCCGGATACAGCTCACGCAATTCGGCGTTGTGTAACCGTCTGAACTATCCGGTTAACTCATCCTTCTTCGGTCCGAATATTCTACGCAATACTTTATTTTCAAAAACCTTAAGACGCTGCTCATCCCTTAATGTAAGCGGCCAAGTTTCGCATCCATAAAGGACTGTAGGCAAGATAATTGTTTTATAGATTCTAATTTTTAAGTTTCGGGACAAGAGGCGCGAACTAAGTAGTTTTGTCACAGAAAAACTATATAAATTATTTTTTGTAATAACAGCATAACAAAAATAAAATAAATCCTCTCGTGGCAGGTGTCGGGTGCCTAGAAGGAAGCCGACAGAACGATCTTGAGGAACTCCTCGCCCCCGGCCATCATTTTACATTTTTATAACCCAACCAGCCAACGCGTTGTTTAATTAACCGCGCTGACAGAGGCCCTGTCTTTAAACGGAGCCTTTGATTGGATGTTTAATGTTTGTCTCCGGCGAATTACTGACAGCATGCGTTAGCCAAGCTCCACCAACGTCCAATCAAATTAGAGCACTCACAAAACCCCACCCACCTCGGCAAAACACAAAGGTGCAACTTTTTTTTTTTTTCGACAAATCCGAGCTCTGGAAGCATTTTCTATAATTGCCCTTCCACTAAATTCCAGCCGTTTGTTTCGCTCTTGCTGGCAATATGTCGAGTGCTCCCGACCATAGATACAATCACTTTGATTCTACCTGAATGAAACCCTTTCCGAAAATACCTAAAAAAATTTAATCTCGGTAATGAATTTTATCCATACATTTACATGTTTCATAATATCACTATATGGATATTTTTATTGAAATTTACAACACTATTAAATAAAATACAACCAGTATATGCGAACAGATCAGAATAATTAAAAGCACAGATTGGTAGAGATATTGCCCAATTGTAACACTCTCTATATAGTTTATTTTAGTTTTTTTATTGAAATTTACAACTGTATTAAATGATAAATACAACAAGTAAATATAAAACAAGTAACATGACATATACTACATGAAGAAAAACTACACATTGGTAGCACTCCAATTATTTTTCTAGATTAGAAGGTCCCGAGGAAATCTTCATTCTAGACGCCTCGGAAAATTGTGAGGAATAGAAGAGAAAACAAGGTTGGAAACAAGAGGATTCAGATGTTCAGAAATTTATTATGGAAGGATAGGTATCTAGATTGAGCTAAATCGGAAACATGTGGTAGATTAAGGTCGTTATGGATGATTTTATTTGTGAAAAAGTAGAGAGCATTGAGGATTTTACGAAGGATTTTTGATTGTGGGGTTTGGATACGAGAGAAATTTGATGGATTACTGGTATCCCATAGCTCGATCCCGTAAGTCTAAGTAAGCCTTATTATTGTAATATATGTGAGTCTTTTGTAAATAGTTTGAAGTTAAGAGAATTTGTCTAGTAAGTGCTGCAGTAGTCGAAAACGTTGCACTGTTTCTAGTCGTTTCAATCTTGTATGAGGGTTCAAAGGGAGTTGTTTGTCCTTATTTGTTCAACATAGATAAGTGGGTTATTGTTAAAGGATACTGTAGGACAGGAAGTTATAGAATTACGACGAAGAGTAAAGGTAATTGGATGGGATTTATTGGAATTTATTTTAATACTCCATTTTTATAACATTTTTCAAGACTTGTTACGTGTGGTTCAAGAGTTTGGGATACAATATATGGATCGTTATTAACTGATAGGATACATGTGTCATCGGCATAGGTGGTGATGACAGTGTTGGAATGGGTTGGGATGTCAGCTGTATAAACTGTGTGAAGGACATAGGATACTACCTTGAGGAACACCAGCAAACTAAGAAAAAAGAGATGAAAGCATTGTTTTAATTTACTTTGAAATATCTGTTTGTAAGGTAGGAACGGATAGTGAGGAAGTATGTAGATGGTAGGAATTTACAGAGTTAGTACATCAGTCCTGGATGCCAGACTCTATCAAACGCCTGTTTAACGTTGAGAAATAATTCCGTGCAAGACTTTCCGCGAGTTTAATATTAAAATATCCGAAGGCCATCTTATGTTGAGACGCCTAGAATCAAAAGCAAGATCAGGCGAATTAAGCCACGATTATATCGAAAACCACAATACCCCTCAAATCTATCCTCCCATTTATATTCAAAAACCACCGAATTTTCTGACGGACACCGTACTCCCTCAGATATATCTTGGGAAGAAAGATGACACCAGGCCCTTATCAGGGATGTCCCAAGATCGAAGGCGCAAGAACTTATCCTCACCACTCCCAAGATAATTTATTGCTCACCTTTTCTTAAAACCAGAGTAAGCGAATGCCGAATTGGAAAAAAGTTGTAGATCATATACAATCACACTTGCTGCGGTCTGTCCCATGTTTTCCTCTTGTTCCTTAGTCTGAAACTTCATTCCGAAAATGCATAAGCCTTCCAAAATATATCTTTCTCAAAAATGTGCCATCCAATCCTCTTCTAAGTTAAATTGAAACGGAAAACATTTAATAGACGACTGAAACCAGTTTGATCACTTTTTCGAATTCTTCAATACCAGAACTGAGACAGAAGCTAAATTCATATTTACACCTATTCGGCAATACTTTTACAAAAATACTGTAAAGCAAAATGAAACACTTACAAAAACTTTAAACTTCTAAATCATAAGGATCACTACTTATAACTAAAGCAGTTGGTAAATGACCTAATACTGACTTCCACCAACCAACAACAGTGAATCAATACTTCATGTATATCAACGATTTCATAATAATTTACCCGGACATACTAACATACTAATGCATAGCACCGCCGTTGCCCAGCAACCTGATCTTTTTTTTTTTTTCTTCCCTACCTCGCCTTTTTAGTCTATACGGGATTTTCCCGGGCCGGGGGGTGAGGGCGGGGAATTTAAAATCCCCTCCGGCACCGGGACGCGAACTCGTACTTTTTATATCATCTTAAATCTCTGTTATCCGGTTGCCTGGCAACTAGCGGTGCTGTTACACACGCTTTAGCCTATTCGGCCACCCCGCCCCCAACCAGCAACCTGATCTATGAAACAACGGATTTAAAATAGTCACGAGTTCGCGTCCTGGTGCCGGAGGAGTCTTTTAAATCCCCGCCCACACCCCCTGATCCCCCTGGCCCCAAAACCCCTTATAGGCTTTAAGGCGAGGAAGGGGAGGACCCCCCAAAAAAATTGTTATAACCAATATACATTTGCATCTAACTCCTCTAATTTTTCATTGGGGCTTAGTTAGGTTTCTCATATCTACAAAAAAATAAAGTGATATCTCTATATAAGCTAGTAAGTAACTCCAAGACTGTTGGGCAAGACCAAGGCCATGGCCAATACTGAGTTTGCAAGACGAAGGCGCTGCATGAGAGACCTACTTCCTTAACAAGCAATGCTTATTGAATCAAGCCAGAGATGAGGGTACTATATTTAAGGCAAATTAAAAAAATAATATCTAGATTGCTTTCTGAAAATTGATGTTTCTCTATAGTGTTTAAATTTTTATATATTTTAGTCAGAATATTCAAAACAGCCATTAACTTTTTCCCTTTCTGACTCTCCAATAGTAGCTCATTGCAAAAAGGATTCTGAATGTTTAATTTTCTTACAGTATGCAGAACGAAATTTTATTTTTTGAGATATTTTAACCCAAGTTTAAAAAAAAAAGCTATATGCCATTTGGTTTTTGACAATATTATTTTCTCTTCTTGCTTCTCTAACTCAGCTTAGCGTCCAGATACAAGTCAGTTTAATAGTTAATTTAATAATAAAGATAATTCTGATAATAAAGATAATTTAATCCAAAAGCAAAAATCAATCGAATAAAGCTGACGTTGTCCGAATAAGCGTTACATAGCCGAGCCTGACTTCCCAAGAAGTAGGATGACTTGCTCGAGATCGACCAGGGGTACCGCACTCCCATCGCCGGGTCTATGCGTGACGAGGAGCCATAGGCTGAAGAAGGAGGCTCTCAAGAAGTCGGCCGAATTAAGAGGACACGCAATTGTGCCGCAGTGTCTCGGACCTATTTCCTCCGGGGCAATCTACTAAGTGATTTGTGGCTGCGTTTCCCTTCCTTCGGATCGTTCAGCTTTCGGCTCTGTCATTGGCGGTCTAATTGGTTAGACTGGATCAATTACCACCAATAAAATTAGACATAGACCCCACTAACTCTACAAGACACAAACGACTAATGAAAAATCGAAGTGGCGAAATTCAAGATTTTATTTTATTTTAGATTTCTTCCAATCAAAGCTTAATAACGTTGTTAAGTGGTCAAAAGCAAT